TCTCTCTCTCTCTCTCTCTGTCTCTCTCTGTTGTGTGGGTTAATGTTTTGTCTCTGTGCGTGGAGACATATTTGTATGTTTAGCAGACGGACAAAAAAAAGGTAAAAATATTAATGGAAAGACAGAATGGTAAAATATAGAGACACGGAGAGGTTTTGAACAAACAAAGAGACGAACAAACTGCGTGATGTTGAACCCAGACACACGAAGTTGGCGAGAGATATGAAATGGACGTGCGGTTTGTTTTGTTTTGTTAATGTATTGGCCCTGAGTACAGAGAAGAGCGGTGTTTATATAGCAATTACCTTACAGACAGTTGGACGTTTGATAATGCAAATAGCGAGAGGATGCAGCTATCGATGGCTGGGTGCATGCAATCACAACTCTCGTCACACACAAACAATGGCACACATCCGTAGATATCGATTATGTGATCGGGAGTGTTTACAGCCGGTCCAAATGTACAACCGGCATTGTGTGTCGAGTGTCGATCATGTGGGATAGGGCTCCTGAGGAGCTAGGGGCTGTTCCGATAACATCACACACCCTCTCCCTTGCACTCTTTTTATTTCAATTTTTAAAAATGTTCACAAATGTATTCATTTATTCATTCATTTTGTTATTTCTTATTGTGTTTAATTTTTTTTAATTTTTTTTTTTTTTTTTTTTTTTGGGGGGGGGGTTCTTTCCTTTGGCATGTGTTTAGAAAGTGTGTCTAGTAGGTGGTTGGTGGGTACTCTGGTCTCTTGTGTGGTTTTCTCCGTATGTCACTTCAAACATGTGTCGTCCTTATTTCTCCGTCTTTTCTTTGTTATTATATTACCCGCTATTAACACCTCCAATCTGTGGTACTCATATGAGTTGCGAGAGCCGTAAAACTCTTACTAAAACTAAAAGTAATTCTTATTAAAAAAACAAAACAAACTAGGACCCCCCAAAAACAACAAACAAACAATCCCAAAGCAAAAAACCAAAAAAAATAAGGTGTGGCTTGCAGCCCTAGCTTATTTGATGATGGAGAGAGCGAGACATTGACAGAGTGAGCTGATGAAGGAGAGAGAGAGAGAGAGAGAGGGGGGGGGGTACTGATGAAGGAGAAAGAGAGACATAGCTGATAAAGGAGAGAGGGATAGGATCGAAAGAAATGATATGATAAATGAGAGAGAGAAAGCTGATGACGAAGAGAAAACGAGTGAAAGAGAGAGAGACGAAGAGAGGGACAGAGAGATCTGGTGAAGATCAGATCCTATACATTGTACTTAAAAATGAGACCAGTGTGTCGCTTGTTGTCAGCGAGATAAATCTACGGTCGTTGATGCGATAAGGGTTGTGTTTAGTGTCCCCACAAGAGCCTCTATGTCATGTCCTTGTCTGTCAGCCCGTGTCCTGTCAGAGCGAGGACATTCTGACATGGCGACACTCGCTATCATTGTTTGTTTCAGAGGTGCTGAATTACCGGATATATCGGAAAACTGGATTCCTGAAATTATCCGGATTGTCCACGACTTCAGGCAGATCGCTGTGATGTTGCACTTTATATGAAAACAGTCTTGATGTAAAATGTATTAGACAAAAATGGTTCGTAAATTTTTAGTTTCCGCATGTTTCCACGTGGTATGATGGGATGATAAGGAGGAGGTTTTTTGTTGTTTTTTGTTTTCTTGTTCGTCGTCATTTGTTTGAGTAAAGAGGAGCAAGTAGAATCGATGAAGGCCATTTACTGCGGCAAGATAGAAACATCAGAGGGAAGGAAAAGTATGCCAGGGGCTCCCAGTGACACCCTCCGCTGTAGTTACGCTTTGTCCTTCTGTAGCTTACTTTGGTTGTGTGTGATGGAGTACTCGATACCTAATGGACACCAGTCTGCTCTCTCCCCCCCTCCCCCCACCCCACCCCATCTCCAGCGCTTACCGGTTGGTATCACCTACTAGTGGACGATTTGGTAATGTTGGCGGGCAGTGGGGAACCCACAGGTAGTGTCAAGTGTTATATACCCTGCTTAAAAATGCATGTCGGTGAGTGATCCGAAAGTTGTACGAGTAGCCCCTCAAAGATGGCAAGTGTTGGCTTTGGCTAGGAAAAGGTTGACAAGCACTGTATGTTTTGTTGTTTTGTTCTAGCTGCCGTAGACTGCTGCTACTCTCCTCTTATTATTTCTGTTATAGCTTGCAAGGTGAGGAGAAAAGTGTCGTTGTTGCCGGGTTTTTTTATTTATTATATCGTTCCTCTCGGATTGACATAATAAATTATTTCTCTCTCTCTCTCTCTCTCTCTCTCTCTCTCTCTCTCTCTCTCTCTCTCTCTCTCTCTCTCTCTCTCTCTCTCTCTCTCTCTCCTTCTCCTCCTGCCCGTCGTCATCCTCTCTCTTTTTACCTATCTGTCAGTATGTCTGCTTGTCCAATTGTTTGTTTGTTTGTCCATATGTCTGAGAACTCTCGTGGCCTACAGGTTAAGGTGTTGGCCTCTCACTCAAAAGGTCCCGGGTTCGAATCCGGGTAGCAACCGAAAAATTTCATCTCTAAATTTGTCTCCTTTCACCTCATTTCCTGCTCTCTAGCAATGTTCTGTCGTCTGCTTTCGTCTCCTCTTTCTGCCCCCACCCCCTCACCTCCTTTGCCCCTTTCTCTGGGCTCCTGATTCTTTCTGAAGCCTCTCTACTGCTACTCCTTCGCTTCTTCTTACTGCAGTCTTTCAGCCACACCCCT